TATCACTGCCTCTGATAAGGACTCCTGGTAACTTCAGTGGGCATTGAGAGACTAAATTGCATGATAACCCAAAGAGAGATATAATGTCTTGTGACATTTGCTTAACACAAATGTAAGGAAGCTATATACATTTTAAACAAAGCGTAATATATGCTTCTTTTTGCCATGCATATCTACTTATCTACACCTCTGGATTTTGATTAACGAAATATGAGAATAATTAACTGTTGCCATCAATTTAAAATGTTAACTATGTTCTTCAGAGACAGTGATAAAATGTGTACAGCTGCAGTGGAAGAGGAGATGGACACTTTACTGCATATCCTATGAAATACAGTATTTAAAGTCATGCTTTTATTCATCAGTGATACAAGAAGTAACATCCCAAGGACCAGAGTCAGTCACATTGCACAGAGATGTCAGGCTGAAAGACAGGCTGTACTTTTCTTTCTGGTTTTTAAGAACACTATTTGTAGAAGTGAGAACACTTGAGAATAATGTTTGTTTTCTCTCTTTTTTTTTTTTTCTTCAGAAAAAAAGAGAAAACATACTTTGGTTTGGGGGTTTTTGTGGGCTTTTTTCAAAACTGTTATTTAGGCAAAATTCTTGTTAAGGCAATTTCTAGCTTTACTATTACTTGCTTTTAAATTCACTTCGTAGCAACTGTGAGACTTCTGTTGCCTTACCCTTTGATATTCTCCATATCTTGCTTAGGACTCATCAATTATTGTGAAGAATGCTGCTGCATTTCCCTTTCCTAATGTTTTCCAGCAGCTCCACATACATGCAACAGAAGTTGAAAAAAAGTATTAAAATTACAACCTGTGTTGCAACTGGTGGAAATCTAAGGGCAATCTTAGGCTAGTTATCAGCTTTTCACAAATCTGAAAATTGTAGGCTGAGTAAGAAGTGGTAAGTAACTTCTCAACTGGTGTGAGTGTTGTTATATGGGAATCAGACAGCCTTCAGCAAATTGAAGTAATGCTGCTTTTAGTAAAGGAGACCTCAGCTCAAATTCTTTTTCTCTTATGTAGTCTACACATTTGCCTATCATTATTTTATTCCAGAATGGCCAATTAAGAGGGGTGGTAGTGGCTTTAGGTAAATACCTCACTGACATGAATAGTCCCAGCCTGTTTCTCCAAGCACCTAACCCATCCCATTCACTGTTTTGTTAAGTCATTTTGCTCATCTATCAGTCTGAAAGTGACATAACCTCTTAGCTCACCAAAAGCTACACATATGATTTATTGATTTGCAGGGGAAATTTAGGCATTTTGATCAGCAAGAGTCTCTGAAGGAAATCCAGTCCTTGTGATGATGTTTAGCTGCACGAGTGCTATTCAGTGATGGCAGTTCAATAATAGTATGCTGTAAAAGACCATAGCAAAAATACAACTGATAGTCAGCAGAGCTTTTTTTCCCAGAAGCTATTCCAAACACTTCATTAAAATTCAAAAATTAAAAAACCCAGTAAATTTTAAAATAGCAATTACTGACTCTCTGTGCTTCTTCTTCCAACTCAAACCAGCCAATACTGTTGTATTTGACTTGGTTCTTACATAAATGAGGATAAATGTGTGTGCATCACACTTGTGTAAGTTCAAAACACTACCTAGCAACCTGCAGAAGGTGTGACTGTGAGGCTTTACCCGAAAGCAGTGCTGTGACCCATTCTTCATCCCATCACTCTCTTCCCAGTGCAGTAAATCTTCTTTGCCGAATTCATGGATGACCCTTGAACAAACGGCCTCAACAGATATTTGGATTAGCATACTTCTGTGGTGCAACTCAGATCTCACAAAACTACCACCTTATTATTCTCACTTGAAGAGACAAATAAACCTGTCAGATGTATTAGGCTTTCTTTTGCTGTTTGATGCTCACTCATTTAATTTCTCAGACTTTTTTCCTCCTTTGTTCATTGCATTTTATGAGCATCTGTATTTAATTTATGCGTCCATGTTATCCTGTGTGGTTCAGATTACCTTCATCACTATTTAATGGACTTCTTTGTATAATCCATAGCAGAAATTAAAAAATTAGGATTTAAGTTTGTTCATTAGTTGTTGTTTGGTTTTGTTTTGATATTTCATTGATACTGGGCATATATGATTTAGAAAGAAATCCTATTGCTTGTGTAAAGAAGACCCTCCTTTTATAAATATAATTTCTGTAGGCATCTGATGTAGATGTTTTAGATGTTAAGATGTAAAACTTGCAAGAAAGCAATGCTATGAACCTTTCTGTATCAGATATAATACAGTGTACAGAGCGTTTGCCTGCTTTTTTAATAGTTAAATGAACATTATTTTCTGTCTTGTTCCCGCTACAAAATGGAAAATAATCTTAACATTATGTTTTCCTATTGTCCAATTAGTGGTAACTGCAAAAAAAGCATACAAAGCTGGTTGATGACATTTCTGCAGCAACCTGTTAATTGGTAAAGGTCTTCACTGAAAACTGAACACAAATGCCAAAATTAGAGAAATAGAATAGAATAGAATAGAATAGAATAGAATAGAATAGAATAGAATAGAATAGAATAGAATAGAATAGAATAGAATAGAATAGAATAGAATAGAATAGAATAGAATAGAATAATTTCAGTTGGAAGGGACCTACAGTGATCATCCAGTCCAACTGCCTGACCAATTCAGGAAGTAAATTAGTTCTTTTGCATAATGATCTAAATCGAAGTCAACTATAAAAATCTATAAACACAACACTGGGAGAATTGTTTGAAGGTGAATTTAACAATTATTCTAAGGGTCTGTGGGTTTTTTTCAAATTTTTTTATTTATACCTGTTGCTATTTAATCGCTCCAATGTTAAATTAGCAGAGGTTTATTGTACACAGAATAAGGACATGCTAGTGGAAGTCAACATATGTTACTAAAAGTAAAAAATTCCATGTTTTTTAGTGGACCATTTATCTCTGGATAAGTTCTGATAGAGCAAGTAGTTCACCTATGTGGTCATTAAATGTCACAGAGGTTTCAGTGCATTTGCAAGAGATGGGTGGCGAATTTTATACTGCAGCCACTTAATGCCGGTCCACAATTTTTTTCTCATCCTGTATGCTCTAGTTTAAGCTATCCTCATGGATACACACTTTTTGGCAGCTACATCTTTGGGTAGTCTTCAGAATTTGTACTAATCCTTCTAATGACTAGTCTGAAATTTCAAGGAAGGTTGAGTGATTATTTCCTGTTGGAGCCGAGTTTAGGCATACTTTTCTCCTTCATGTATAATGTCAAGCAAATACAAAAAAAATAGTTAAACAGATATGCAGCTTTAGGTTTCAGAAATATCATGAATATAATAGGGAAAACAGAAATCAGATTATTTCTGAAGGATAAAATGCTCAAAGGGTATCAAGGAGGCTATGATAGAATAAGATGCAGTTATGTTCTCATAAATGGTTGACATGTTTTTCAATTATAGGGAACTCCTCCTTAGTTTTATTTATAAACATTTTAGCTGTTAAACGAGGAGATTAAATCTCATTGTGAAGGCATAGTAAGTGCTACCAAGTCGGCAGATCTTGTTCAGTCACTCCTGTTGTTTCCCTTACGGTTTGAGTTAAAACAGTTGATTTTAAAGGTGAGGTTATTCATGAAAGCTCTGCAAGGGCTAGGATCTGGTCTCATCTCCAGTTTTCAATCAAATAGTGATATCATGCAATGGTGACAGTTATTAATTAATTAATTTTCCAGTAGTCAGAAAGGGAGATGCTGAATAGGAGCTACTATAACTGGATGCCTTAAAATCAGGAGGTCTGATACATTCATACAGCCCTTTTTTTTTTTTTAAAAAAAAAAAAAAGCCAAGTTTTTTTGAGAGTTAATATTTTCTTCAGTAAATGTTTGAATAATGCAGAAGTCCCAGATGACATGAAGAAAACTGAAGGATGAGAAGAAAACTAGCAATGAACTGAGGTGTTATAAAGAATAACCCGTAGGTCTGTCAAGCTGACATTGATATGGGAAAGAATAATGAGAAAAAGAAATTAAGCAGGGTAAAGGAGGTAATAGCAGCTGATACCGATTATGGAAAACATTTAGAGGTAATAGTGTTGATGCATATTACTTGTGCCCATGTAGGGTGTTTGTCTTATTTTTACATGGCATATTGGTTACTAAATTATAATGACAGAAAGCAGAGTAGTCATGATAAAATGGATGGAAAAGTGATTACAAGACAGGATTCAAAATTGGAAAACATCACTGAGCAGGTTCTACAGACAACATACAAATTCATTTGCATGGCGTTATCTGCCTTCTAGGTGCTTAATGTACAAGGGGTGGGGACTGAGGCACCCTTATTGCTTTTTATTACACTCAATTTCATGTTACTCTTCTACCTACGTTTACCTGTCACGGGTTCTTTTTAATTTTAGCGATGGTTTTAATTTAACACCCAGCCCAATAACAGCAAGGTAAATGGAGATGTTTAAATTCCCCCTGCAAAACCAGAGGAGAGTCCAAGGCCTTGTTTTCCATAACAAAGCTTTTTTTAGCACTTGACAATGAGATTATGCAATGGCTCCAGCTCTCAGTGGAAGAGCTGGCGCTGGCATGTGAGAGCAGGAGTCTGCCAAAAGCCCCTGCATGGTTTGGCACCTACAAAGTGACTGTCAGTTTACTTATGTTCCTAATCTGACAGTCACTAAAAATAGTTCAGGTGGCTGCTTTCTACTGATGAAGAAATCATGTCCCTCTGGATATTTATGTTAGGAGGGAAGGGAACAATTAGTGAATTGCAGTTTATTTACTGCTGGGTTGATAGCTAAGAGAATATAGGAGAGCTTTAGCATTTGTTACAGTTTCTTGAAAAATGCTGAAACATCACAAGGAAAGGAAGACTATACAGTGTGGAACCTGAAAATACTGAACATATTTTGATCATGAAATGACGTTTATGGCATGACTTTAAAAAAGTTTAAGCACACAGTTTTTTCTGTCTTAATGGTAATTAATGCACTTCTTTTTTTACAGCCAGCAATCAGCTGAAGACCTTGCAAGAGTACCTGCTAATTCTACCAGCAATATCTTGAATCGGCTATTACTCAGTTATGATCCCAGGATAAGGCCTAATTTCAAAGGTTTGTCAGATATTTCAGCCATTTTTTTTAATCTTTGGAATTTAACTTTTGCTCTTTACACACATAAAAATTTAAATAGAGATAATGGTCACAACCTAAATTTCTGGTTTGGGGTTTTTTTGTTTGTTTTTTTTTTTTTTTTTTAATTAAAATTTCCCTAGATAATGTGAAAGTGCAGAAGATATTTACCCTTTTAACTGAAATGTAATATGTTAGGATTTCATTATCATAATGGTATGTGATGAATTGTTATTAATATTATACAAAATATTTTCAAAAGTATGATTCTATTTTGTATAATAAGTTTTTAAAATGCCTTTTTATCCCTACATTTTAGTTAGACTTTAGTAGTATCTCCACTTTACAGTATTTTAAACCACCAAAATTCTATATAGACATCCTTTAAGATGACTTTATTAAAATTGGAATCGACAGTATCACTGTTTGGAAAAAGTGCAGTTATCAAGTCCTTTAAAGATATGTTAATAATACAATTTACACACTTCAGGATTTCAAATAGGTAATGAATTTAGACATATTCTCTGACTTTAAAATGTCTCCCTGGTAGTCAGATGTTGAAGGAAGCTTGCATGTAGGCAAATGTGATTTCCTTACCTATGCAGAAGAGGTTCTCTGCAAAACCTCTAGTAATTCATACAGCTGTAAATTGTGCTTTCCAAGGATCAGATTATTTCCCTGGTGGAAAAAGACATAGACAATTTTATTACGTTACAGACACTGCTGCAGTTTACATAAATCAGTTCTTTCATTTTAAAACTTACATTTAATTATATGTACGTTAGGAGATATTTTAACATGCATATCAATAGCATGAGAAATTTGGAAATCTGTAATCTTTATTGTGCTTTTGAAGAGACCATTTTCAGATGTTCTATTTAACTAAATTTTATAAATGCTCTTAAACGCAGTTCTCAGAAAGTGTCCTGCTTCTTTCTTATTCTCTGTAGAATCATGTTTTCAGCACTGATCCTTGTCACAAAGAATAAATGTCCAGCCTCTGTTCTACCTGTTCTTCAGCATCATCAGCTTGTAATCACAAAGCTTATTGCAGATTTCTTTATTTTATTTATTCTTGATAACTGTGCTGGCAGTCTGGTAAGAATCAAGATGGAAGGGAAAGGGAGGACATGTAATGTTAACTCACAGGAAGGTGGAAGGAAAAGAACGTTTTCTGACAAGTGGTTTGCCCATTCTAAAATGTTCCTCACACATGAGTGATTTCCTTGGATGGCACTTCCTATTCAAACCTGGAAGAGATAATACACTCTTGGCTACTAGTGTGTGCTCTGCCGCATGCATCAGGCATTAAACAGACTATTATGCTTATTGCATAACCAAAAGCATCACATTTAACCGGTCTGATTTAAAAAAAACCCACAAACTGGTTTAACTGAAAAATGAAATTTTATCTTAGTGATTTTCTGGTGAACCAAGGGAATGGGTTTGAATTTATGTCTTAAATGTACACTGAAATATTACATGCAGACAAGCAAACTATTAGATGAGGAATTTACTTATTCTGTCAAAATAGTCTTCATATATTCTTATATCTCTTTTGTTGCTGAAAATAGGAAGAAACCCACTGAATTAAGTATTTATAACAGTGTAAATGAGATCAGATACATGCATCTAGTGTACTTACTGACACTCTCAACGTACAGGTGCTAAATAAAACTAGTGGACCATAATTAGTTCTTGCAACCATCAGGCCACTTCTCCATGCTTCGTGATAACTCTCTGTAAACACCAGATTAAATGACTGCCAGTCAGTTCCCGCAGGGTGACAGAGGGCAGATGTAGCAGCTGTCACACAATCCCTCTTCAGCTACAGGAATCCTGGCTGTAGAAAAGAGCAAAAATGCCAGGCCATCTTAATATCTTTACAGCTGCTGGCTTCTGGGGATTTTTTTTTGGCAAATTGGTAACCACTGTAAAATGGAGCAGTTTTCTGACTCTCTTGCACCCAGTCTGGATAGCTGGGGAACCTCCATGTAACAATGTTTATCTTCCTGTATTCATATTTTACGGTTATGTACTAGACTTGCACAAGAAAGTATCCTCTTACAATATAAATAAATGTCTCATCATAAATCATAAACAGGTAATTTGGGATGATAGATCATCATTATGACCTTGACAGTTAAAAGCGTCCACTGCTGAAAATGTGAATTGCCTCTATCCATTACACTGTGTGCAAAAGTAATACTGGATTGTGCATTCTGTGATAACAGAAAATCATTAAATTCAAAAATTATTCAGATTTATGATCTGTGAAATGCTTTAAGTTTAGCACTCTGGACTAAGGATTTTTTTTTCTGTTTTTTTATCACTAGGTTGAGAAGAGTTTTTGTGATTTCTATTGGCTTTCAATGGAAATAGATTAAACCACAGCTTTTGAAAACTGTGTATATACTAACTTGAAAAGATAAAGTTGTATGACCCTATAAAGAACCATTTCACATTGTGATATCAATATAAGGAGCTTTAAATGAAGGATAATGTACCTTTACTGGATTGTGCAGTTCACTAGAATTTTTTTTTTTTTTTTCTTAAAGGAATTCCAGTTGATGTTGCAGTCAACATCTTCATTAACAGCTTTGGGTCAATTCAAGAGACAACTATGGTAAGACTGAAATCAAATTAATATAGCACACAAGGAGATTTTCTTATTAAATTAAATTTCAGGGTGAAGATTATGACCTATAAAGTAGAAATTATTATTATGATTGTAGACACTGAGAATTGAGTTAATGGGGTTAATAATAGACTGACGGTGCTTTATGTCATAAACCTATTAATCTATTTCATTCTGTATTTGTCCATAGATTGTTACAGCTTTTAGAATCTGATGTACATGAGAGGAAATCCATGGTTTCTGAGATGCAAGAAATACACTTATTTTCATAAGTTATAAAGTTCAGGGGAAGAACACATTTGGTAGTATGAGTTAAGTAATCTTCCTGAGAATTAATATATAGGTTGCCTGGTGTATTACTGAAGAAAATACTAGGACTGTGTATGAGAGAAAAAGAACAGACATGCATAAGGATGAAGCATACAGGTTCTCTGTTTTATGTAGATCTGAGGATAGGAGTAAATTGTGGAGGAATAGAAGGAGAAGTAAAGGAGTAAACCATCAATGACTATACTCTTACTCCTGTTTATTTACTGTGTGAGAGAGGTAAACTGAGGAGTGAAGTTTCTAAAAACATGTTTCCAATTCAGCCAGAAAATTTCAACATGTCAATAACAGCAGCACATAATCCTCATTACAATTTCATCTTTTTTTTGTTGTTTCTTTAGCAAATAAAATCTATTTAAAAGTAAGAAGTCATTTCAGCAAAGCCCTTTCCAATATTTTGGGACATGAAGATGTTTTTTGCAATGGTGCTTCCAATAAATACCATCAAAAAATATTACCAAAAAAATGTCATTTGATTGTTGAAGGTATTCTGACCTGATCAGGGTTTTTCTTTTGTGTAAAAAAGAGGGGAGTACACCATGTCTTGCCAGTACATGGGAAGCTACAGCCAGGGCATGCACTCAGAGAGGGAGTTCTGAGCATCCCATTTAGAAATAACTTTGGTGATCTGCTGCCCCCAAAGCATTGAGGCAGTTCCCAAAATCAGGCTGCTTTGTTTAATGCTGTGACTAAGGCAGCATTCCTGCTCATGATGGCACAGAAGCAGTAAACCAGAACATGGCTAATAAGTAATAAACTGCTTTTTGTTGTCGGTGGAAGTAAGTACCCACTTAAAATTTAGAACCGGCTTACATGATACCCTACTGACATTCAGTAGGACTGCAGAGCCACTAAAAGTTAAACATATGTGATGACTGAAATGCTTTTGAACAGCTTGGCCAGAAATTTCTGTTTCTTTAACTGGGAGCGAATAAAGTTTTAGATTTGATTGCAGATGATACTAAGTCAACTAATGGAGTTAGTGGGAAGTGATATTAAAACAAAGAATTTAAGTATGCTGAAGATACCCTGAGATTTATTTCTGCAAACAAAAAGGGGACTGGAGTTTAAAGAGGGTTGGGAGGAAGAGCAGGAAAGTGGGAGTGAGATAAGTGTCTAAGGTGGCAGGTATACTAGACCAGATGGCCCTTTCAAGTTTCTGAAATTTATTGGATGCTTTAAAATGTGACTTTTACAGAGGCTTTTTTACAATTCACCCAGATCCAAATAGTAACAAAACATGAATGTAAGGGGTGTGCTTCCCTCCCCCAAATTAAGCATGGTCTCTCTAGCAGTGTATGTATGCCTGTCTGTGAATTCCCGATATGGTCACTCACAAATTTACTAGGATGTTCTGTAAGATAAGTCATGATTTTCTCCGTATTTCAGAACTTCAGACACCATCCTTACTTTAATTTATGCTTTTATTTTTCCTGCGTCAGCCGATCACCATGATAGCTAAGCATGTTTATGTGAAGTTTGGATTACTTCTTCCTTGCCTTAATGTATTGCAGGAAGCACTGACAAAAGAAATGGTCAGTCTGTTCTTCCATGTATCACTTGGGAAACCCTTCCTGCTGGAGTGGGTATTGGATCCTGTGGACATCCAGGAACCACTGCTTACTCGGGGATAGACTGGTACTTGTCTTCAGATGGTCTGGGTAATGCACCAGACAGTAGAAGAAAGTCCCTTAGACTAGGTGTCCTGGGTTGAGTGAGTGGTGGAGTTTTTTGGTGGCAGGGGAGGGGGCTATCGGGGCAGCCCCCTGTGAGAAGCTTCTAGAAGCTCCCCCAGCTCCACGTCAGCTCCACTTCTGTTTGGGAAATTGAGCCAATCGGCTGCGCCTCTGCGATAACGTATTTAAGAAGGGACGTGGTGACGGGCAGTGGGACTGGTGAGGAGGAGTTGCTGCAGCTGCATGAACACCAAGGTCAGTGGAGGAACGGAGGAAGAAAGGAGGGGGGAGATGTGCCGGAGCAGAGACCTCCCTGTATCCTGTGGGGAGACGGCAGGGCGGCCCCCCCTGCCACCCATGGAGATCTACGGTGGAGCAGACATTGATGTATGGCCTGTGGCTTCTGCTTGGGATAATCAAGGTTCTGTGCCCGAAGAAGGCCGGGGTCTCATGGGAAAAGGCAGCCCCGCTGCTGTAATTCAGTGCTGGGAGGATTGCAGCATGCGGGGGAGTCCCACGCCGGAGCAGCTCGGGAAGGGCTGCAGCCGTGGGAGAGAATCCAGTCGGAGGAAGTTAGTGACCCATGACGGAGCAGTGTGGGGAACGCTGCGACCCATGGGAGGAATTCATGTCGGAGAAAGTTTGTGGAGGACTGTCTCCTGTGAGAGGGGGACCACGATGGAGCAGGAGGAACAAGTTCCAGACACTCCCCTCACCGAAGAGAAGGGAAGTGGCAGCGCTGCCTGCACCCCCCATTCCCTGCCCCTGCGCCCCTGGGGGAGGAGGTAGAGCTATCGGGAGCAGAGCTGAGCCCGGGAAGAAGGGAGGGGTGGGGGGAAGGTGTTCTCAAGATGTGGCAATGCTTCTCACTGTCCTACTCTGTTATGTGTTGTTAGTGTCTGTAATAAATGTATGTTCTTTTTTTCTTCCCCTAACGAGTCTGCCTTTTGCTCGTGATCATAAAGGGGAATTTTTCCCCATCCCAGTCCTATCTCAAACCCCAAGCCTGGCTCTCTGTCCCTTCTCATTGCCGGAGGGGAAGGGAGAGAGAGCTGCTGCATTGTGGTTGGCTGCCAACCAGGCCTAAACCACTACACTAGGAAAAAGCTTGTACCTCTGGAATCACAGGAAAAGTGTTTCCTGGAGCTGAGGCACCACGTCTGTGAAGGACCAGAGGAGCCTCTTGCTTTCAGAGAGGAGAGACATTTGCAGGCAGTAACAGAACTGCTGAAAGAGTTTCTTCAGTGTTGGAGAAGAGAGTAGCTGTCTACATCTCTACTGTCTCAGGTGCTGGTGTGAATCACGAGGAATATTGATTTATTTACTATCTAAAGTTACGAGAAGCTACTAAACTGGTTAGATTGATATCATTACTGATACTAAAATCTTTGAAATAATCTATTTCTAAGTATTTCAGTCAGTGTAGCGTTGTGATGATTCTTGGGTCTGTAGCCACTTCTGTCTGTAATAGCTGAATTTATAGGTTTTTGCAAAACCTATGTGGGTGTAAAGCGTCCTGTTTTAGCCAGGCTAAATTCCTTCTTTTGAAAGAAAATAACCATGGGTGCTGGGTGATTGGAATTGATGTGGTGGTAGAAGCCCCAGTGAACAAATGTGCAGAGTGCCAGTGAGAAAAGGCCATTCAGCACGCTGGTCTCCTTTTCTTGAGCAGGATGTTAAAAGAGATGCAGAAGGAAATGTCTTCAACAAGATGTCCTGTATCCCACTCTTAGACCTCTCTCTGAAATACCCAACTCTGGGCTTCATGTCTGGAACTTCTAACTAGTCAACAGGCTCCCAGCGTCCCTCACCTTGACATTGTGGTCTCTGGTTCTGATGGCTCCTCATGCATTTCAGGAATTCCACAAAATTATTTTCAATTATTTTTCTCTTGCTGTCCTTCTGGTCCCACAGCAATTGCAGTTGTAGCCCTGCAGTTGGCTCATCCTCAACAAAAAAGAGCAGAGATTACCTCCCACTGAGGTAGAGTCCACTTGGTTTAAGAGAGAAGGGAATTTCGTTATAGAAAAGCATCGATAGATTTGAAGTTACACTGGTTTGAAGGAAGATAGGATCCATAGTGTGCCCAGAAGCCTGTACTGCTTTAATCAAGCCCTTGTGAAGTAACTGAAGGGTAAATGTTTGCTCTGTGTTTAGAAAGGGTACTGTCCATGTGTTGTTTAAATGCTTGAGAGAATTGTGGTATTTTCACACACTTATCAAACAAGTTACCTGGAAAAACTAAAAAAAAATAGCTAACTACTAAAAGAATAGGAATTTGTGCAGGTAGAATGGAGAAGAGCTTATACCAGAGCTGCAACCTTCCAGTAAGCTCCCTTTATCTTGAATCCTGTAACTTGTTTCCATTTAGAACATTAGACTACCTGTCTAGGATCCCCATGCTAAGTCTGCTTCTGATTTTGCACATGTTTTTTTTCACTGCAGATTTGTGGGATAACATAGTGATTCTTAGAAACATTTAGAAACTGCTGTAGACTGGATAACCTGTCAAGGATTCCTAGGGATTGATCTTTTCTGGTATAAATACCCATAGGACTATAATATTTTAGCTGTGATGATGATCTGACCCTCTGTCTACAGAATCTATTTTCAAGGTTTGTAGTTGCAGTGTAACCTTTCTTCAGTGTCTCAAATGGTGGAACACCACTTCCTTCTTCTCCTTTACTTTAAAACCTTGCAGAAAGGTCTTTTTAATATATATAAAGGAAAATTCGGTTTCCCTATTTCAATCTTAAAAATGCCATTTTCTACTTTATTAGAGGAAAGTGCTACTATGCTTCCTTTCTTTGCGTGAGTGCGGTTCATTTAGAAAGAGCCTTTAATGATCTTCTGTGTGCTTCAGTTTGCAGAGAGATATATTGGCTATGCCTGGTTTCTGGCCTGAGTTTTTCTGGCCACGTGCCCACTGTTTAGTAGCCTGCATTTGAAATATTTCCTAGAATGCCTCCCCTTTCAACCTCCCTGAAAACAACTTGCCTTCTGTTGGAGTTTCATGGGAAAAACAAAGAATACTTCTGTGATTCTTTATACCTGCCAGGTCCTCCTAGATCCAAAGCTGATGAATATCTTTTCCACCCCTCACCCCTAGTTTCAGGCTTTTTAATTGCTATTTGACTGTCCTTCTGCAATATTCAAATAACGTTTGTAGAATGCATAGGAGGAAGACCATGTGCTTCATGCAGACCACTTCTCCAGCCCCTATTGAACCTAATTATAATGCACATACTGAATCTTAAAATTCATTGCTCAAATTTCAGAAGACTGGTTGCAGTCTTTCAAAATAGATGTGTACCAGATCATAGTCTATACTGCCGCCAGATGCTGTAATAGTTCATATTCTTCTAAGAAGAAGCCCTTTTGCACATCATTGTCTGGCTAGCCACTGTATCCGGACCTCTTTGCTTCCTTCTACATTTTCTGTATTGCCTCACAGATGTGGTGGCCTTCCTCTTCAGGTATCCCCTGGTAAAAGTTTCTAGTCATTTGGGTAGGTCTGAGCCTACCTATTTTTATGTTAATGGGATTTTTCTTCCATTGACTTAAATAGGAACAGAATCAAGTTCTTCAAATGTCACAACATCCCATTGTTTGGTATATTTGAGTTCATTTGTACTAGAGCAAGGAAGGAAATAAAATAACATCTACCTGATCTTACTTCCAATTCTTATTTTGCCAGTGCATTCAGCTTTTCAGTGATGTAAACATCTCCTTCTTCTGAGTGGATAAGCTGAAGGCAAGTGTTGGACACCACTTATCATTTGCCTGTGGCTTTGAGAAGGCACCTTATTTTGTTAAAATCAGGGTAATGCACTTGTTTATGGGGAAATTAATTGTTGGTGTAATGAATAGTGTAATGCTTCTGGGCATGAATAGTATGCAGTATTTATCTCATATGGTTTAAAGTAATTGTCTTTACTGAGACAAGAAATGCATATGGAATGGGAACTTGAGCAAGAAGCAAGTAAGGTAAATTTTCAATTACATCATACAATTATATACATATAATTGAAAAGATGCTTTCTGAATGTCATGGCACACAAACCTGGCACACTGAGATAATGACCTGAATTCCCTCCTGTTCTGAAGCTTCTCTATGAGAGCCTTCCAGTACAAAGTCACTTCATATTAACTATTATTTTATATTTCTTCTTTACTTTGGCAAGATAATATAGGTCTTTGTATAAATAAGACTCAGACAACATTTTTTTTTTTTTAAATGGACTGCCACCAAGTAACATATTTCTCAGAACTATGCATATTAATAAATACTGCCTCAGATCTTTCTACTTAGTTTTGATGCTTTGCTTTCCCTAACAATGCAGTAAGGATCTGACAGGTGGACTGGACATGGGAAAGTGGGCACCATATTCCAATTAACAGGGTAATTCAACAGGGTAAATTATTGTGCATGAGATCTTAGCCAGGTAAACTCCTTCCTGTTGGAGTTAGCATGACTGTCTCAACATGGCACTTGCTTCGGACTGTAAATGTGTACATTGTAGTAAGTACAACAGAAGAGAACTCATGTTGTATCAACAGAAAAATATGTAAGAGGACATTAACATGTAAGATAAACAACTTCATAAAATCAGTTCGTTAGGCAGAATACACTGACAAACCAAAAATGTGTTGAGAACCTTCAGTCACAGATTTGTAGCATTTTGCTCTAATTGTAAAGCAGTAGCAGTGGTTTCAATGCTCTGAAAGACACAGCCCTTATCTCAAGATGCTTTGTACCTAACAGACAATTCTGAAAAAGCAAAACATACCACATAAGACAACTAGGAAGACTGGAGATAGAAGTTATCTTACATGCAGAATTTTGGTTTATTTGTGTTTTTTTGTAATTTTATTTCAACAATACCTTCATTATTTTTCTGTATGTGATCTTCCTAGTTTACATACACATAAAAAAGAGGCACTGGCTTAAATGTAAATGTAAAAAGCAAAAAGACTTAGAGGTAAGACTGAAAAATGGTAACTGACATACTGGGTCAGATTTTTCTTTTGGATGCACACAGCTTTCACTAAGGACAGAATGCCTGTGGGTCTCGTTTTGCCATAAGACACATGCTCCTCCAATTCCTGAAGGCAAAATTGGGTTCTCACTGAGCATGGATCTACTACTGTCCATCCTTGAGCAAGAGTCCTGCTGAATCCAAGCCTTAATTTTGTCTTTTTGAGACCTATTCTGTTTCTGATTTCATACATGCTACCTCAGTACTTGTGTTGCAAGCTGGTATCAGTTTTCTTCCGTTACCAAAACAGTCCCAAATCAAGGTCTGAGGATGTATTCTGGATGTGTAGTGTAACATCTATTAACTATCTGGTCTGTTTTTTGCTTTTATAGTGTGATATTTTGCCATCAGTGTGGCACTTAACCAAATGGAAAGTAAAATAGAATTTACACTCGCAGAATATCCTGATAGCAGTGATGTTGTATCTACTGCCTGCAGCAATTTAGTGTAGTCAAGCTATGGCCTCTCTCTGCCCTGCTGCATGCTTTTCTTTATGTCTACGTAACAGGGGGCTGCTATCAAGGGGATGAAAAAATGATCCCGGGGGGGACAATTTAGTCCTTTTTTTAAAGAAAGTTACTATATGCAAAACATGAGTGAGACATAATCTACGTATTTATAGTAAAGTCTATTAACACTTATTAATGTCATTTGAAGAGTGATTACTGTCTTTGTGATTGAAAAATCAGGGCATAAATTGTTTTGCTCTTCAGTGTCTGATAGAATGGTTCTTTCTCTGTAGGTTATTGGCTAGACTTTTGGCTAGTCTAATATGTATGTATCCTTCCTGTCAGGATTATAGAGTCAACATCTTTCTAAGACAGAAGTGGAATGACCCCAGACTCAAACTGCCCAACGACTGGAGAGGTTCAGATACGCTGACAGTGGACCCAACTATGTTCAAATGTCTTTGGAAGCCAGACTTATTCTTTGCAAATGAAAAAAATGCTAACTTCCATGATGTCACCCAAGAAAATATCCTTCTTTTTATATTTCGGGATGGAGATGTCCTAGTCAGCATGAGGTATTTTACTGATATATTTCTACTCTTTTTTCTAATGGCTTGATATGGGAAATATATGTTGTATTAGACTTAATAACATAGTACAGTTTATGGCTAATATTCAAATTTATATGACAGTCTGTAGGCAATAATACAATAAATGAAATGTGTGTGAAGAAATCAGATTAAGGTGTTTTAAAGCATGTCAGTTGAGAGCACAGCAGCTACAAGAACTTTGAAGTGTGTTTATGTTTGTACGTCGTGTTAACCTAACACGTTAAGTAAACTAGTATTATTGGAAACAAATTTTAAACCCTTTTTATAATTGCTTAGATTCCTGGAAGCATAGTGAAATGGATAAGATACCTGAAGTGAAGCCTTCAGCAAAACAATGTCATTTGCACACCACTCGAATTTCTACATCAACCAAAGAAAATTATGATTACTTACTAACGATATAGGGGAAGGCAGAAATTATAAAATTTGTGAATATAAATGTATTGCAAAAGTATGGGGACATAATCCTGATGAAGTTCTCTGCCTTACTAGGTACAGGTTTTTTTCAGAAGACCCAAAAATATTGTTTGATTTCATGCAATTAACACATACTTTTTTGTGGTTTGACTTGATTTATCAAATGTATACACCATGTCATAAAAATAACCATCCACTGAAAATAGCAAGTTGGTTGATCAAAAAGGTTCTCATAGTGAATTACAGATCTGGAGAGTGTATGGATACAATGGTTTGTAGGGATTAGGGTCAATTTCCTAACAGTGAGTGAATTTTCTTCTGATGTGAACTGGAACATACTGACCCAGTCGAGGAGAAAACAGTCACCCGAATATATTGTAACTTTACCGTTAAGAGGGAACTACTTCTGCAATTATGGTCACATGAGCTATTTCTTCCTGGACTAGAAGTGGCTAGGAAAAAAGAAGGAAGATGGGAGAGTGTGGGTTCTTTTTTGCTCATTCCAAATCACTCTGAGAAAACTCAATCTCAAGAATTTTGCCAACAGTGACCAGAAAGGGAAATATTTTGGACAATCAAAGCACTTAATTTGTGTCAACCTGCACGTCCTGGTTCTGATTTCAGTTGTTTCTATAGGAGATTTTGAAGTCTGCAGAAATTAATATTTCAAAACAGAAAATCACTTTCAGCTATAAAAGAAACTTCAGATTTGAAATAGCAAATGTTAAATGAAACTGCAACTTTTTCCAGGTATTTGTCCAGGTTGCAGCTATTCAAAAATGAGCGTATTTCAGTCAGTAGGTTAGGTTAGTGAATAGTGAATATTGAATTAATACTAACAGAAGCGTCTCTGATGGAAAAATTAATTCCTGAAAACTTCCAACTATCAAAACCATATTCAGTAAAGATTGAAATTAATGTAATCCTCAAAAAATATTCTGTTGATTTTAATAATACACTATGTTCATAAATGATATGTGTGCAGGTAAGATGAATTTTTTGAGGCACTGTGGTTTGGTGGCATGCTACTAAGATTTTAATTTTAAAAAATACATAATTGCTGTGCCTTGTATGTTTAGTTTGTCATATATTATCACATATAAATGAAAGAAGGTCTGGTTATCAAAATACATGAATGATAAAATGCATGTGAGAGGAAGCTCTTAACCTGCAGAAATAGTTAAGAATTAGGAAACTGAATGTAGGAATAAACAGGTAGTGCTCACATGAGGGGAGGTAAGTAGTAGAGTCCCACAGAAAAATATCTTCTGGACCCTATGCTGTTCAGCATAAATCATCTGAAAGACTATGAATTGGCAGGAGCTTTTGATGATGCCACAATATTCAGGATAGTAAAAATAAGATACAACGGTGAGAATTACAAATTAATCTAATGACTAGGCAACAAAGTATGAGATGAAATCTGGTGTAAATAACTGAAAATTATGCACGTGGGAAAAAATTATTCTAATTTTACATAAAAACTGATTGGTTTTGAGGTAGTTATTACCAGTTAGGAAAATGATCTTTGGGTAATAATGGCTGTTTCTCTAAAAATGTCATCTAACAGCTCAGTACGGGTTGAGAAAGTGAATTGAATTCTAGGAAGTATTAGGGATTAAAGAGAACATCATGCCACTATATAAATTCATGCTATACTTGCATCTTGCATAAAAGGTGCAGTTCTGTTTTTTCCACTGCAAGAAGGGAGGCAAGGGTGATCAGAGATATGGAACATCATCCTTTATAAAGAACAGCTAAGCAAGGCAGAACTTTTCACACTGGAAAAAAAACAAGATAATTGAGGTTGTGGTGTAGAGGTCTCTAAATCATGAATGGCACAGAGAGAATGGACAGACATTGCTTTTTCACCTTCTTTTCCAGTAAAAGATCTATGAGACAGGTTTAAGATAGATAAAAGGAGATGATGTATGAAGCTTAGCTATGGCATTCCTTGCTGCAGGATGCTGTGTACGATTAAAGTTTACACAGATTCCAGAAAGCAACTGGAAGCAAAGCAGCTTCTTGGAGGGAAAAAAGTGTGTCGAAGTCCCTTGAAGACTGAATCATCACTTCTGGTTTAGGGAGTCCTTGAGGTTCAACTTTTGGGAGTCTGCTGGATAGCTGGAGAAATATAATTTCCTGATTGCTATAGTCTCATATTCTTCTTCAGGAGTCTGCCATTGGCCACTGCTGGAGACAAGACTCTGTTCTGTATGGGCCTTTGGTTTAGTTATTCTTATGACTTATATGTATTTTTTCCACTTCTGTATTTTCAGATTGTCTATTACTCTGTCATGCCCTTTGGACTTGACCTTGTTTCCTATGGATACACAGCGCTGCAAGATGCAATTGGAAAGCTGTATGTGAAGCAGTCTGTGCATAAAAACAGTTGCCTTCTAGGCAAACAGAAAATGATCAGTTCTGTATTGTTCATGTCAACATTTGTAATGAATCTTGAAATTAATATTCACTGGTTCCTACCAATTTACATTTCTCTATCAAAAATGTTTCTTATGGTTATGGCACCATGAATTCTGTTTTTAGCTTTTGCTGGCAAACATAGTGACAGCTGATGAGTTTTATAAAACCATTTACGATGTAATTTGAAAAAAAGTATCCATGTTTTCACCAGGTAGTTTTTGCTTCCACAGCCTGTGCTGCCTTGTAGCTTCTTAGGGTCCAATTTATCCCCTTGCATTGATGATGCATGCTATTGTTTGAAACTTTTGCTACAGTACTGAAGGAGAAGTATTTGATGCTAATGCATTAAGAGCATTTAATATGAAACCTTTTGAAACGGGTTTCAAGATGTGTTGTGAATTCAGTCAGGCACGTCTCCCTTACCAGTCCTGTGTCTCTAGGTGATTTGATCTTATGAAGGGGCAACGAGGTCTCATCTCTGAAGGACTTCATGCCATGCTGGAAGTTGCAGCCAAAATGTTTCTGAAACCCATCATCTTTCCTGCTCCCCAAGTACAAGGGTTCCTACTCAAGTACAGCCTTTTCCCAATACTCAGATCCCTGGAGACCCCGCTTGCATGATAATTCTGTTTTCCTGAATAAGGACAGGTGTGAAGCAGAGAGAAGGAAGGTGGCTTGTTCCATCCTGTTCCTGCTATAATACAAAAACTTTGTTTAGTTGTTACTCCACCAGGTATGGTGGAGAAGGTGAGATTAGGGGAGGGAAGACAAAACCGAAGAAAGAGCAAGGTTAATCAAAGTTAAGCAAGGCATCCCAGTGGGGACAAGTGTAATAGCACTAATGATACCAGAGCTTTACAATTTAGTTTTTGATTGCCAGCTTTTACCTTTAGAATTGTAGTATGTCTATAGTAGTTTTGCCCATCACTAATATGTATATACATTAGCTGAAGTAAATTCATGGCAAACCCAAATCAGATTGGGGTTAAGCTGGAATTAGACAGTAATATGAATGGAAGTTTGCTCAAGCTTTCTCAGTCTGGGTTGCTTTACAAGCACTGCAAGGTTTAGTTATTCAAGGAAGAACTACTCATAAAAGAATTCTCAATAACTTTATTTAAATAACCTTATTATCTCTCCATGCTAAGTTGATATACTAAAATTCAGGAGGAATTTGCTCCTTTGGAAAGACAGTGTGCACTAAACGTTCTTCTGCCTTTTAATTTACTTGTCAAAAGTAAGAATGGTACCTGTGACCTCCTATCTGTCCCTCCAGTTCCAACAGTGGGCTTGCTTTCCCTGTTAGCCACTGGTAGTTTTATTCTACTTACTTTATTTTCAAATTAATATTTTGTTTCTAGTTGCTAGATTTCCAAAACAAAAAAGGCTGCCGGTTATTAAGCTGTTCTCGTATCTGCAGTTATGATCCCCAGTTCTACACATTCCCTATAGACAAAATTTTTACTGTCCAGTAATTGTTATCATAAAGGATCTTGGCAGTTTTGTGATTTGATGTATGTTGTAAGGTGGTGAGACTGATTTTATGAATGAAGCATTAAAACAACTAATTGTTTTTTTATATTATCTTCCATCATGAAGTTTTGAGACACTGTGATTTTTATTAAGTTGTGAATCTTACAGAAGTTATCTTATGAACAGCTTACCTTTTTTAATCACAGCTGTTTTTCAAAGATTAAAAAAAAAATCTGTCTAATGCCTCTGGAAAAAAGAATGGTTCTTTAAGCATTTTTCAGAGGCGTTGAATTGTGAAACACTGCATTCCAACTCCATCTTTTATATGTTTCCCCATCTCTGTTCCCGTTTAACACACATTATCTCTGTTTGAATTAAGTTAATCCTTAATAAACAGCAGGTAGCAGAAAATATGGGATGTAAAATGATTATTATGATTATGCATATTTAATCAATGTTGCTTTATGCTTGAATATTGTGAGCATAACTTCCACTGTCTCTCACTTGGTGGTGGTGTATATATCGTGATTTAGACCCTCAGAAGGTCTGCTGAAGCCTGCCCATACTCAGGAGATCATGAAGGCACTGAATTGATTTCAGTAAGACTATAAATCTACTTAAATTCCTGGTCAAGTATTTCCTGAATAGCATGGCTCTCATGAATCGGGGCCTTTAATTTGAGCAACTAAGCAGGAAGGTTGTTTTACACAAAAACCAAGATTGATCACAGTAATTGAGTTGTTCTTTTGAAGTTACCAGGACTTGTGAGTGCCGATAAAGTTCAGTGTATTTTTCCTGCTTTGCTGGAGTATGAATGAATATGGAGGCTTCACAGCTGTGGAGAACAGAGCTTTGCTTTCTTTGTTTAAACAGTAAGCACTATAACAAACACCTCTTAATCAGTGTAATATTTCTGATAATGCAGTGTTCCACCCAGCAAGTCCTAGTTTAGGCCTACATGAAAATTCAGTTGTGGATTATTTCATTTTTGTATTTAATTCTTTGAACAGGAAATAGAAAGAGTAAAAGAGTACAATACATATATGCTAGATTTTCTTGCAGAGTTTACGAGGGTTCTTTAAATGATTATTATTATTTTGTTCTTGTAGTTGGCTACACAACTGATGACTTACGGTTTATCTGGCAGTCTGGAGATCCTGTACAGCTAGAGAAAATCGCTCTGCCTCAGTTTGATATTAAAAAGGAGGATATTGAATATGGTAACTGTACCAAGTATTACAAAGGCACAGGTAGGTAATATAAGTTATTTCCTTGGTAAAAAACTTCAAGCTTCCTTCAATTACTGTTTATAGTTATTGGTTAGTATTCCAGTTCTTGTTTTACATTTCATGGGATAAAATGGACTTCTTTTTAACTGTTAGTTTATAAAATAGTAACTATCATGTGTGATTACTGCAAACTAATTCAAATATAGAAACATCTAGGTTGAAGATGAGAATAAATGTTTGTCTTGGGTTTCCTAACATGTCTTGTCATCATACTATTACCATTTTGTTTCTATAGTCCTAATACTCATTTCTGCTTGCAATTGTCTAACTTTTCTGAAAGGATGTTCACATAGAATTATACCAGTTATAACAAAGCAAGATAATTTTTGTTTTCTGGTTCAACCTTGTTCCAGAAGTGGGTAGTATTAGAGTGCAACTTAAAATGCTTTGCCCTGCAGGTTCTTCCTTTCTTTAAGTGTTCTGGAAAGTCTGTCATTATCAAAAACGTCTTATAATCCTCAGCCTTGTATTTATTTAATCCTATGATTATTTTCTGATTGTGGGCACAAATTTATCTAATGGTTTATGTAGTCTGGCTTCTAATGATTTCTCTTTTCTACCTCAATTGATTCCTGCCTATAATTATATCCAAAGCTACTCACATAGTGTAGCAACTGCAAGACTTTCTACAACAGAAGTCGGCAGGGTGTATTTTAGTCAGTGCTTTGGCATCATATGAATAAATCCCCCATTAAGATTCAGTGAGGATGTCTGTGGCACTGCAGCTTCCTCAGAGGATCCTCTACAAGTTTCTCATTGACTATTCAGCTGAAGTCAAGGGTATGTTACTTGCTGTTGCTCCTGAGCTAGATCCCAAGTCTGAATCTCAAGTAACCTTAGTAGATCTCAGAGTTAAGAAATTTAACTTAAAAAGGATAATGAAGAGTGAAATGGGGTTTGCTTTTTAACTGCAAAATGGGTGAATTCTTGGCCTAACTATGTAATCCATCATCTCGGGTGATTTACCCTTTGTAAATAATATGAGATAAGCTCTGTTCAGGAAAATTCTGCATTTGTGAAAGCACAACCAAAAACTGGCAGTGATTACATTGAAAACTAAGTCAGGATATGGTAGAAGCTTGCTTAGCAGTGAGAAGAATATTTTATTCTTAATTAAACAATGAATGTAATGAAAAGGATAGGCTATAAAGTAGTAAAAAATTAAAAGGATGAATCTTGCATTTCTAAAATAAAATTTATACCAATGGTAAAATTGGAGAGCTTACATTCTGTTTGGGGGAAAATGGATTACTTACTCAAGATTGTTATCTTGTTAGTGAAGTTATTCTCATCATTTTGAGTTTTGCCCTAAATCTAAAATTAATAATCTAAAAAATATTTAGATATTTTTGGTATTTTTAAGAACCTTAAAAAAAAAATCTAAGAATTGTACATTTTACCATTAAACAGGAAAGAAAATTAGGAGTGTTCTCTCAGGTTTCAGTACCTCGTGACCATAAATTGAAATGACACTGTACTCAGAAAAATGGTCACATTTTATGCGTGTGTGTGTGATTTGAACATTAAAGAAAGAACATGAGAAAACCATTAGAGTATGTGGAGTGACAACATGACATTTTTCAAGTTTTCCCAATTCTCTTATTGCAAATCTTTTTTGTTTAAAAACTGAGAAAATCCATGTTAATCTCATAATCAAGACTGGAATTAACACTTCATTAATGTGAATAGAATATTTTAGTACTCTGAAGTATTTTTAAAGGGTGTTTTCAGTAATCAGTAGTTGTTTGATTGACTTTAAATTCTTATACTGCACATACTTAAAAAAGCAGATTTTGCATACATAGTTAAAATCAGTTAGGGTTTTGTCAGGTAATCAAGACGCAGTGTTGCATGTAGAAGCAAATTTTCAAAATTATGGCTTATGTAGGAGATTCTTTCCTGTTGTTAAGAACTTAATCTTTACTGCCTATTTACTTCAACTGACAATTTATCATACCTACCTAAGCAGAAAGAGGGTAAACAAATTTGAGGTGACTTTTTGGGGCAATAAATTGAATATTTAAATTTGCAAATTGCCTGTTTGTTTATCAATACGTATGACAGTTCCAAATAGGCACCTCACGAACTGAATAGTGAGGGCATTAGATACAATTCTCCGCCTGATTAAAGATGATGCAAAAGCATACGGAATGCATTTCTGACATAAAGCAAACAAATAAAGATTTTGAAGTTCATCCTTCATTTGCAAATAAAAACCTAAAAGTATCTGGAAACTATTTAGAAATTATAACAGCTCATTGAAGAGGATAGAATGAACTATAAAATGCCATATAGTGTCTTCCACACAAGAAAATTTTTCCTTAATGTTTTATTGTTTTGTTATTTTGGTTATTGTATGCCCAAACAGCATTTTTAAGATGACTTATCATTCTGTGGCACTTAACTGACAAAATGTAGATGATAAACAGATATATTTTGACAGATACTATCTTCTAAATTTGCTTTCCACCAACTTTATTTATAGATATAGACTGATCTAAATTTTTAGATTGTTGTAATATAACATAGGAATGCCTTTTCCTTGTGATAGCATAATTTATGACATCGTTTTTACAATGCTACTATGTTAATATTAACATAAAAATGCCAGTTCTGCTGAGAGAAAATATGAACAGAAGTTGTTTTCTGATTATCGGTCTTCCTGATCCATCTGTTATCTCCAGCAAAACCCCTGGTATCTGCAGCTTTATTTTTTATTGAATTCATCTTAACAGATATTTTCTGAAATGTTTGTGTGCTTTAGATACTCATTTTAGAAGATTTGAGGTGGTATTCCTTGTTTTCAAAATTTACAGTGTTTTTAGAGTCTTTTTTAAATCTGTACCAATTTTAGAAGTCACCGGTGCCAGCTTTCCGTACTGGGGGAATCTGCTTAGAGTTACATTCACCTCCGCTCTTTCCATTCTAAACTTTCTACCCCAAAGTTTCTTAATTCCATTTTTTGCAGAAATTAATGCAAAGTTAGCATTTTCAGATGACCTTAAGCTCGTATGACTGCTAAACCCATTGGTTTTATCTGAACCTCATCTTGAAGCCAGCATCAAGATGAGAGTCAGTTTAACTGCCTGTTACTGATGACTGATGCGCTGTGAGAAGACAGAGGGTGCCATGTAGAGCACAGGGAGTACCACATGCCTGACCACACTTGGCAGTTATATAGATCTGTGTTTTGAACATTTCTTTTTTTTTTTTTTTTAAAAAATTGTACTCTTTGCCTTCATAAAGAAAATCAAATCATTGAACTTTTGCTCTTAACTTAAATAGAAGAAGGCCTGGAAGATATGGAGCAGAAGAGGTTGACCTGCAAAGCACATTAAACTTTAATGCATTTATTTCTTTAAAGGTTATTACACTTGTGTAGAAGTAATCTTCACTTTAAGAAGACAAGTTGGATTTTACATGATGGGTGTTTATGCTCCTACACTGCTAATTGTTGTTCTATCCTGGCTGTCATTTTGGATCAATCCCGATGCAAGTGCTGCAAGAGTCCCACTGGGTAACCTGCGTTTACACATACCGTCACAATCCACTTTAACACCATTGAGCCATTCTCAGTTGCTTTGACAACATGACACTGGACACTGAAAGCAACTTCACTTCCATTATCCACTCATCATTTTCACTGAAACCTCCTCATTCCAAGTCCCGTAAAATCCACCTCTGCATTAAGACTTTGCTTGATAACGGTTCCAGCGTTTGTGTGAGAAGCACACTATCTCTGCTTCTCTCAACCTGGACAAATCTGATCTTATCCATGTACGGGTGATGCTGCAGACACACTGGCAATATGCAGTTTATAGGAATTTGAAAATCTGAATAATCAGCAAGAAAGAAGGATGATGAGTGAGGTTCTACATAGGTACCTCTTGGAGCAGTTTTTTCTGAAGATTAGTAGAAACAGAATGATGTCTGGAAGAGAATTAGCATCCTTGTTACCTGACTGGCTTTATTTCATTAGAAACTCAGTTCATGAGAGTACTTCAGGCTTGTGCGTTCATGCTGCTCAGCACAACACAGTAGGCAGGCCCTTCACTTATTATGAAATAGTAAGACCTGTAGTTAATAAAAACAATATTATCTTGACTAATTGGATTGTACATGGGACTCCAGCTCAGGGGTGGCCAAACCTGCTGACCCCAAGAGCTCAATGAAATGCAAAGCCAAGTTCTTGCATCCTGACACTTCTCCTATTTGGATTCCCTCCCCCATGCCGTGACCTCTCCTTCCTCATGCCCTGGCCTCCCCGTGCTCCCCTTTTTCTTGGCACTCCCACCTCCCCAAGTCCGTGCTTTACAAATCTTTTCCATGTCCCGGGAGGTTCAATGCACCTGTTTTCAAGACCCCACGGGTGCAGTTGCAGAATCCCTCCAGCCTTCCTCAGAAACCTCTCGCCCACACTTGAACCTCCACACCCTCACAGGACATGACTCCCGTGCAGCCTCACGTGCATGAACTTGTGTTGATAAGCATTGGAAAATCTTGGAGTCAGGACCTGCCACATCACGTTACCAGTCTGTCTGTGGTCTGCAGAGTCTTGCAGCAGTGGGTGGCTGAAATCTCCGTGTTAAGAGCCAGCTGGAGGAGGAATGGTGCTCAGTTTTGTTAAGTGGAAAAGTGGTCACATACCTCCTGGCCTAAGCCTCATTGCTCCCGCTTCAGGTCATCTACCATGCCTCTTTCTCCTCCAGTGATATGACAAGCAAAATAAACTAAGAGCTGCAAAACCCCCACAATTTAAGAAGGATGTTCAGATCTTTGAATGCGTCCAGAGGAGGCAACAGAGCTGGGGGGGGGCTGGGGGGCACGGGCTGTGAGGGGCGGCTGAGGGCTTTGGGCCTGGAGCAGAGGAGGCCGAGGGGCGACCTCCCGGGGGGGGGCGTGGAGAGGGAGGTGCTGAGCTCTTCCCCCGGGGATCTGGGGACGGGACGCTGGGGAGTGGTTCAAGGCTGCACCAGGGGAGGGTTAGGCCGGGCTTTAGGAAGCCTTTCTTTACTGAGGGTGACAGAACACTGGAGCACAGGCCACCTAGAGAGGTGGTCGATGCCTCAAGCCAGTCAGTGTTTAAGAGGCGTTTGGACAATGCACTTAATAACATGCTTTAACGTTTGGTCAGGCCCAAATTGGTCAGGCAGTTGGACTGGATGATTGTTGTAGGTCCCTTCCAACTGAAACAGGCTGTTCTATTCTAAAATCTGGGGAACGGTGCCTGGCATGATACTCTTGGCTTGTGATCCACAGCTGGCTACCTTGCTCTAATTAAATGTAACAAACCTACTATTTCATTATATTTATTGTATCTTTTTTCTAGCTATTTCAGAACACAAATGAGCTTTTTTTCTTTTGACCTTTAAAAATATTAATAGTTACTTGGGGAGGAGTCACAATCTGTATTAGTTTGATATCAAGTAGCAGCTATAATCTCTTACCTTGAAAAGTAGCAAGGATGCATTCCATAATGCAAAACGTAAGATATTTTAAGAAAAAAAGTTTGAGGACAATGTAGCATGCATTAAATTAAAAAGATATAAACAAGAACTGAAAATATTTTTCACACAGTGATCTCCAATACAATCAAAACCTGAGCTGTATTTCCACTTTTATAATCTTGCACTTCAAATGGCTGACCAGACTTATTAATTATATATTAGATTTATAAGAGGCATAGTGCTGATTTGTGTAACATGGTTTTCTGTGTGACTAAACATGCATGCCTATTTATTGCTTTTTTGTTTGATTTATTGTAAGTGTTTATTGGCTCCTTTTATGCATTTGCATTTCTGAAATCATGCATTTTTAAAGATACTAAACATTGGCCTGGTTATGTGAGTTTTCCTGAATCCACAGAGAAGCAAAAAAACTCTAAATCTGACTATCCTTTAATCATGAGTCAGTATTTAGTAATGCAAGTTGTTAATACTGTCACTGGGGTAAGATTTGTGTTTCTCCAGTTTGCAGGAGGGCAACAAACTAACTCTTCAAGCTACATCCTTGAAGACTGTTGACCTTGAAATCTAACAAGATTAACATTTGCATGTCAAGTGAATGATACCTAATCCCAAAAAGGTTTTACCAATGGCCACTACACTCTCAATGGCTAGACGCAGATCTCACCAGATGAGAAGCTACTTCAGATTTACTTAGGAATATCGTAATGCAGTTGTCCCTAGAATTAAGTATAGTGGGCTGGCTGCTGGTCCCCGTGAAAGAAGTTTCCAGGTGATTTAGGAATACAAGACACTTTGTGAGCCAGTGAACAGAATATGTTTTTGTAGACTGATTAATGAAAAAGCTTGTGTCCATGTAGGAATTAAATAAGTTGCAAGCTCAATTTATACCTGTATCATTTCACCCAACTGGATCATCTGGTGGTGTGGAAGTCCACAAAGGACTGGTGTCTGAACAGCTGTGGGGACATGATGTAAAGGCTGATATCACTGAATCGTCTAATTAAATGCTGGTGTTTCACCTTTTAATGAGCCCAGAAAAGGACTCTCCAGTTCTTTACAGGTGGAAAGCATGCCAGCATCCATTTCAAAATTCCTTTCTTCCCTTCACTGCCATGTGATCCCCCGGGTGGGTAAGATATTCCCTGGAGCTGTAGGGATCTGAGGGACATGAGACTTCTGTCTGCCCACAGCGGCCTGGCAGTGTGAAGCATTAGTCCAGAGTGGCAGATGAGTACAACAGGGTAACTAAAAGCTTTGAGTAGTGATCGGTGATATATTCCCCACATACAAAGGACAGCTATGTCTGCAGCTAGGCATGACCCCCCATCACTCCTGTCCTCAGATCTGTCTTAGTTCTAGTCACTTCATTTTACAAAATTGTAACAAATGTAGGGTCTCAAAGGAGAGACATAAAAATATATGTTAAAACACTAGTATGAAGGAATTGCAAGATTGTGTCTTCTAGTTTACTAAATTTAATGAGAGAAGAGAATGTATTAGAGGTATCGAATTATAAGAAAGGCAAGGCAGAATATTCCCTTTTTCAATAACATTAGTGAGATGAAGCCAGACATTTTTAAAGCAGTAATATAAGGCAGAAAATACTATTTTATACAGCACATAATTAACCTGTGGAATTCACTTCCAGGAGATAGTGCTGAGGCAGGTAAGTTTGATGGATTCAAAAAAGGGAGATTTATTTATCTGGCAGCATGTGCTGAAGTGCTTTGCTGCACTGGCACTTTCAGATATTATCCAAATGTAAACTTAGGTAGTATTTTTAAAATAGTAGCTCTGTACAGTCGTGCTTTAGGCTGAGAGCTAACTAACCTTCCTGATAATCTAAATTTTGCCATCAAGAGTGTTGTCACACTAGGGACAAAAATGCAGAGGAATTTCCTAGAGAGGCCAACTTTCCCTTTACTTTGCAAGCATGGAGGAATGAGCTCTGTCCCTTCTCTTTAGTGCTCCTTGAGAAGAAAAGGGGGATTTTTTTCTTCTTTTTTTTTTTTTTTTTTTTTTTTTAATAATTAATCTTGCAGTTTATTTGTTCATTCTCCTCACTCAAGTTTGAGCCTTGAGCTTTGGACTGTGCTAGGTAGGCACTTAGTGCAGCTGCTGCCAGAGGTGCAACTTACTGCTCTGGTACTGCGGTCTCCAAGTCCATGCCAACTCTGGTCTGGCAGCAAATGATTGTTTAATAGAATATTTCTGTGCTTCTAGCTCACTTTATTGCTACCTTGAAAACCTAGAAGTTTCTCAGAGTCTGAGAATGAACTTTTCATCTGAGGAGTCCAGACAAAAGGAAATTAGTGGCAGGTCACCATGACCTCAGTTGCTCTACTGAACAAATAGATGAAAGCTGCACTAAAATCTTCTCAGCTAGCAGAATTTGTAAGTTAGTTTTGTAGAATTAAATCCAAGATTGTAAGATCTAGTATTTTAAGCTCTACAAAGTGGTTATACATATGTTTGCAGTGCCAGGCATGATAATAATACTCGCATATTAAGATAGCAAACATTTTTAAAGTTAGTAGGAAAAAAATTACAATATCCAAGATGTTGAGCCAGTCCATATCATTGGCTAATTTGGTTATTCAGGGTAAGGGTAGCGGCTGCCTTTCAGAGGTCTGGCATAGACATGCATGGTACTTGATGCCTGCTCACTGTTAGAGAACGAACTGCAAGCTGGGCAAAGGCAGAGATGTCCTGTGTATGTGAAGAGGCAGTATGGCCTTATTTGTACTCGTTACTGCAATTCCTTATGAACCATAATTAGCGTTCATGCTCAGACAGCTGGTGTTTGTCAGCAAAAATAAGTTATTTTTAAAAAGGGTACTATTCTTTGCTCACTTTCTATCCTTATGGGAGTGTCTGTACTTAAGTGCTTCAGATACAGTAGATGGAGAATAAGCCCGAGTGGCCACTGAGTATTGTCTGTTCAGTATTTGCCATGTCGTTCTGATCTAAGGTAGCACATATGACCATTCTGTATTATCCCAATGGACAAAAAAAGCCAGCTTTGCAATGATACATTGATATTACACGTTTCTAAATAAAACATCATTGAATTTTGTATTTTAAAATCATATGTCCATAATTAGTTCTTTATAATTTCTCTTCAGAGTTTTAGCAGCTAATAAATTGCCCATTTGAGATTGATACCAAATAAAGTATCATATCAATCTTATTAAAATCCAAATGGGAACAGTAGCAAAAGAACCATGTCTTATTTATGATCAACTAGAATTGAATACTTTCATAGGCCAATACAGATACTCTCAGTTTTTTAACATTTTCGCATTCTCAGTTACTTAAATCTGAAGAAAATGATGTCTCTATGAATTACACCATTTTTCATGCTTTGGATAGCATATGTGACCAATATAAGAAACAAAGTTGAGACTGAGTATCTCCTTTTGGCCAGCATTTTCTGTAGACATCAATTACATTTCATGAAGCTGCCCAGTCAGAGCTAAAGATTTTTGTCATTGGTGCTCACAAAATCAAAATGGGACATCCTGAACTGGGAGGTTGAACTACGTTTCCCCCACGTGACAGCCATTTCTAAAGTTACCTTTTTCCAAATGTGGCTGTTCATGCTACTATTTCTGTTTCATAGGAGCCTGTGGGAAATCTTTCTTTGAGATCAGACTTGTGTTTTGTCTCTCATGATGTAAGCCCTGTGTAAGTGGTGACATTTGGAAGCCTTATTAAGGCGAAATTCTTTTTGAAACCCAGTTTGACCATGATTGTGACCTTTCAACAGCCTTTGCAGATGTGGGGTTTTTTTTCATGATAAGGGCTACCTGAAACACCCTGTATCTAGAAAGCTTCTTCTAGAGCCTGGAAGCTCAAGTAGGGAATGATTGTAGACCCGCAGTCACCTCAGTGTTTTTATCTTCACAGTGAATCAGGAAGACAGACGTTTTAATGTGCTGGTACAGCTTTGTTCTTCAGCAAAAACTTCCACTTCACCTGAGGTTTGCACATCACACTTATGGGCAGGTCATTGAGATAATTGCACCTGCTGTAGCACAGCTCAGATTTCTGGGACAACGGGAGTCTAATTTCAAGATATGGGAGTCTTTTGGTTTAAGTATCATATATTTCTCTTCCATCTTCCCAGACTTAGATGCATGTTGTAAGATAAGTCTTTGGAACGTTTGTTTCCCAACTGTGTGATGTGTGATGGGGCAGGAAAATCACAGCAACCAGTTTAGCCTCACTTAATGTTTCTCTGTTTATAAAATCAAGGTACTCATTATTGATAATTCATCATTAACTGCAATATCCTACCTAAGTCTTAACTTGTTCGTTAACTGAAGGCATGTGCGCTTTGTATACCTGCTGCACCGACCACATTCTGAAGTCCCATTCACTGTTACAAAACATCATTCAGTCTTGTCTGTTTCAGAGGAAGAGCACAGCCAGTCTCAATAAGGGTCAGTTTTCTTTAATCAGTATTTTGTTTTTCTTCTCGCAGGTATTTTCTCAGTGCTCAGCTTGGCGTCTGAATGTACCACTCTTGCTGCTGAACTTCCCAAAGTGTCTTACGTGAAGGCCTTAGATGTCTGGCTGATTGTTTGCCTTCTCTTTGGGTTTGCATCCCTGGTGGAGTATGCGGTGGTTCAGGTAATGCTAAACAATCCAAAGAGAATTGAAGCCGAAAAAGCAAAGATTGCCAGGGCGGAGCAAGCGGAAGGGAAGGGTGGAAATGCTGCCAAGAAGAACACTGTGAATGGCACAGGGACTCCTGTCCACATCAGCACCTTACAGGTAGGCGCTGCAAAGCTGTGTACGCAAAATCGGCATCATCCTCTATTAACACAATTACAGGAATATGCTGTCGTAAGAGGTTTGGATAGTGCTTAATCTTAGAAGTGGCCAAGGCATTAAAAAAACATGCTGGTAATTAATGGCTTGCAATCTGACCAATTGATCCCTAGTGATTTGGGGTCAGATGTACTAAATGAAAACTTTGTCTTTTAATATCCTAGTGCCATGGCTGCTGCTGAGCTTCAGGTAAATAAAGTAGCAAGCAGCTTTACAGTTGCTATTTTTCTCATAATAAATAGCAGCTGTCAAACTGTAACTATTCAGAGGACAGGACTCTCAGTCAGTATTTGCTGAGAGCGTACTCAAATAACACCCGTCTCATTGCTTTCCCCGGGATGGCCACAGCTGCACCGCATTGCATGTCAAGCATCTCTGAAGCCAGGGATCCAGAAATCTTGGCATTTGTAAACAAAAGACATGTCTGTTTGTCTGTCAAACAGTTCCTGCATTTCTTGTGTCGCTAGATAGTGTTTATGGGTAAATCAGTCAGATCTCATCCTGTGGATAAAGATGAGATGTACATTTTTGCGCAGGCCAAAGCTTTCATCATGTCGTTAGCTTCCTGGTGTTGTAAAACTCCCTGTTTGTGCTTCAAGAGTTACCAGACATCCCAGGCCAACTGCCCTCAGTCCAGAGTGATATTTAATTCACATTTATTCTACAGAACAAAATACGTTATGCTACAATATGTGGAAGATGAATTTGGCTTATAGTTTTCAATGACTCATTTTGATGTATAAAATAAAGCTATTAGTCCAGAGCCAAGTGATAATATTAGTAGCATACAATGTAACTTTAACATTTCTTTAAGGAGGGAGTAGTTTACACCAGAATGGCAGAATCCCTGTCCTAGTATGAGGCTGGCATTGCCCTATAACTAATTACACCCAGTCCAGATGAGCTGCAGATATTGCAGCGTGGTAGACTTAACTACTGTGATTCTCATCTGGTAGAAGAGTCTCCTGGGAACTGTTTTGGCAGGCAACCAAGGTCAGCTTGGAGCAACCCCAGGACTGCTTTGCCTTGTACCACAACTAATTCCCCAAGCCCAGGCAATGTGGGAACTGAGTAGAAAGAAAGATGACTCCGCTCTAGTTTTGCTTCTCCTCAACCAAATGTGATATTTTTATGTTCAGAAATTTGCAGGTCCCAAATTCAGCTGTTTCTTGTGACAAAACAGTTTCAACAGTCCATCGGAGCATCATGAAATCTATTTATTCCTATTTCAAGTACTTAACAAGTGTAAGTTTTCAGCTTGATCAATGATAAAATTAACAAAAACCTACAGTTTTTCAGTAGTGTGAACAAAACCAAATTGCTAAATTACTGTCTCTCCTCGATGTGTACACCATTTAAGATACTTGCCATTGTCATAGCCATAAGGAGAATAAAAGTATAACTTTTATCACCTATGCTATCCTTTAATATCTTAACAGTTTTTTTCAAGAAGGCAAGTATGGGTGCAGAGTGCATTTTAGGACTTAGAGGGAGGGGAGTCATTGTCCACAAAAATTAAGCAATATTCCCCATGAATGGTGTCTAGCAGCAGGCTGAAGGTTTTTAGGATTCAGACCTCAGTCTGCCTTGAAGATCTTGCAGTGTCTCCGCTCCGTGATCTTGCAATGTCAGCTCCAGCATCTCATGTTTGAACTGCACTTTTCAGGGTCTTCCCAATTTGTTACCAGAGACCTTTAACATTCTGATATCTATAATCTCTTCAACAATAATCTGTGCTGGATTTATATGGAGTCTTGGGCATGTGTAGCTTCTGATGATTTTTATACACGGAGTTACAAAACATTTCTTTATCAAGACATACTGGAAATATGTATTCATTGCTGTGAAAGCTAGTCATGTGTCTGAGTGGTCTCCAACCCTCATGTCTAGTGATCCAGCTTTTATCCAGACACCTGCTTGAAACATAGGCTACCTGGGGAAGGGTAATTTCTGGGAAGATCACCAGGCTGAGATAGAAAAAGTTCCCAGACAAATGCATCATTTGACATCAGGATGTGGTAGGAGAGTGATGCTAGATTTTATATATCTGAATGTTATAAATCTGCCTAGCTGAAAACTCCCTCTCTGAACCAGCTACCACGTAGGAGTACTTTGAAAGTTTTCAGCCTTGGAGCAACTTGTACTAAATTCCTAAATCAGGTCTAAATCTTTTGGTAGCTCTGATTCCTAATCCAAAACTAGGCCTGCCCCACAAAATTTGGATTGCTCCCATACAGACCTAGTAATGATCAAGCAGAGAATGTATTTGTCATATGGCAAATATATGAGGGAGAGAAACATTAAAGAAACAGGTAATGCAAAAAAAATGTATGTTGAAAGGCATAAAAAATATGAAACAAAAAGAGGCCAGAGTGCTGTCCCAGAACTTTAGGAACTGTTTCTCATCAGGATCGTGTAGGATTGTGTGTGAGGAGAGAGCAAATACTGTGCTAGATGTCTGGAAAGACTTAGGCGAACCAACGTGTAGCTTTAGGAGAAAAGGGCAACTGACAGCTGCACCCCTGGAACAACTGTGCATCCCACAGAAATGTTTGAGGATGTTCTCTTTCCACATAGGAGGTGATTCTGAGGCAAAAGTGACTGAGATATAGCTGGAAATCTCACCATAGCTAGGCTTAAAACAGTGGATAGACCAGATGGGACTCAAAGACAACAGGAAAAACCTGGAAGCAGAAAACTCCAAGTGGAGAAAAATAGACAGCATGAATAATTGCATTTATAAGTGTTTCTCCAGCTTAAATGAAACACTTATTTATTGTGAGACATTAATTGAATGCTGCTGATACATATCTGTAAGTTATTAGGGGAAACTTAATTTTAAAAAGAGACATTATTTAATTTTACAATGCTCCTGATTGCAGTGCCAGGCCAGTTTGTCAGCATTCCCTGAGCAGCAAGTTGCACTCTTGCTGCCTCTTGCATCCATGCAGTGTTGCAGCAGTGATGGCTCTGCAGGAGATTTGGGGAGGGGGCCAGTGTGTGAGGTACAGGGGGGTTGCTCGAGTGTGAAGGTCCCAGGCATGGGAAGGATCAGAGGGAGTGCAGGGAAGCAAGTGGAGTGGCCAGGTATCCCTGGTTCCAGCCCTCGTGGAGCAACTTGTTTTCATCTGTTTGCTCTGTTTGTTAAAGATAAAAATGGCATCTGGTCTGGAGACTTGGCATGTTTGATATTAGTAAAAAACAAGCCATAAAAAAAAAACACGTGATCATACTTAAAAATACAAGCAGCTATTGTTCCTTTTTTATGACAAGAAATTGGGTAAAGGGATAAACCTTTCAGTATATCCTAAATATTAAAAGCTTGATGCCCTTCATAGTTGAAGGTGAGGAGAAAAGACGCCCTGTAACATAACCTGGAGGGGCCCACCTGGAAGTTTTCAGCAGAAAGCACTTCTGGCACTGTGTCAGTAGAGTCAGTGATCATAACTGATAGTCACCAACAGTGACAGTGAAGATAGCAGGATGGAAACAATGCTTACAATTCGCCAGTCACCCAAAGACGGAGAAAGGCTTCCACGGATTCTCCTCGCCACCAAATCCTGGGTGCTGGCTGACGGAAAAGCTGTATGTTGCCAGCATATGCCAAACCCCCGAGTCCATGCTTTATGACTCGTGCCCCCTCCAACAAAAACCCTTGAAATTTCAGTGCCATTTTAAGCCCAGAAATTTATCAGTATGACTATCTGATTAAAGTCAAGTGTCCATCTGGCAAGATCACCCTTAATCTGTAGAAGAAAACAGAAAATTCAACATTAGCGCTTCGGATGTGTTTTTCTAGGTGCAGCAATGGCTATGCATTTACAGGCAAGAAGCCATGAGAGAGTACAGTTTGGCTTTCTTAGCTGCAAGTAGATGCTGTTCTAAGCAGAGGAGAAAATTATGCAACCTGGTGGTAACTGCTGGCACTGGCTCTTTTATTGGGAATCCTCAATAGGAGTTTGCATGTGTTTCCTAGCAATGAACACCATACAGTAAGAAAAGAAAGTAAAAAGGGAAATGTTTTGAAGATAAATCAGTTTCTTTTTGCTTTCACCAGTGGCGTGATTACAGGGAGAGATTGCACTGTTAACTATAACAACACCCCTCGAATTGGAAAGTCACATTCTCATCAGCCTGTTTATAGAAGCTGTCCCCCACAGATAATGTGCTGATGCCTGTAGAGTACATTTGCTAAAAGAATGGCTCTGGTGGATGATGAATAATGCTATGCAAGTGGAGGTAATAGCTCGAAACTCAGTTATTTTTAAAAAGAAGTAGTGCTATTGCTTGCCTTATCTTGGCAGAACCATATCTAGGGTCTGAAACCTGGTATGGCTTATGTTCATCTCTACTGATTTATTATATATCTGACCACTGGTGGTGACTTGTGGTGACCTGATCTTTCTATATTTTCTTTTCCCCTTGAGTGGCACGCCAGACTCAGATTTTTCTTGTAGAACCACCAGAAACTAAGTTTACGTTTTACCTCGTACACAAAACCACAGACTGCAGTCTATTTTAATAGCTCCTGACAGCATTTCAGGTACAGAGTAGGTACTTTCTGCTCTAGTGACTCACGTATCTGTCCTTGGAGATAATTCAGAACATGACTGTAAAAAGGCCCCAGGCAATCTGCTTTGAGCAGGGGGTTGGACTAGATGATCTCCAGAGGTCCCTGCCAACCTCAGCTATGCTGTGATTCTGTGATATTTCATGCATAAATATTTTTTGTACCGTACTTTGCAAGGAATATTTGGAATGTGACAGCAAATTGCTGCTGAGCTGCACCAGAAAATACGCTCAGTCTGAATACACACTAATGCTAAACAATCATTAATTTATTGATGATCTACATCTATCATTATGGCAAGAGCAAGAGAAGAGCACAAAACAAATGCAAGAAAGACTAATGACAGAGTTCGCTGGAAAACTCCTCCTTCGTC